GGGGTTTGTAGCTGTAAACCTAAGGGAAACGTGGTGTGTGGCACTAACTCACCTCATCCTGACAGCGGTCTGGAAGGGTCGGTTTGGGTCTGGGGCAGTGAGAAGGGTTTTCCGAAGTATCATCTGATCATTATTGCACCCCCCCCCCCCCGCACTAGCATCTCTGATGTGGAATTAAAGGCCAAACCCAGTAGTTTTCCATGAGGTTCCTTTGGCTGAGATGCCCACAAATGGTTGTGTTTCAGGCACTTTGGTCAGTACAAGATCACAGGGAAGCAGCTGAATTGTTGGGGGCTTTTGCTGATTAAGAGCATTTTCATTTTGTCCAGAGTTACTCAAATAAATGTCTCGGCAGGGTCTTTTTGGTTCTTTTTCTGGTCAGTCTACGTGTTCGTTTTACTGGTTTGGAGTTTCCAGGAGGGTTTGGCTTTTTTTTCCCCAGGTAGAATTATGCACGCGACAATTCTTCGGTGTTCTTAGTTGTGTGTTACGCGGCGTATGTGGAGGTGGCAGGTGTAATACCACAAAATGAATTAACATTCTTAAAACGACCTTCCTCCAACCTAGGTGAGGTGAATTAAAGCAAGGGAGCATTCCAGTGACGATGTGGTAATGTTACTGGGCTGTTTATTTTTTTAGAACTGGGTAGAAAATAATTAAAGAAGCAGTAACTGGCACGAGCGATTAATTCAATCAGCTTTGCCCGTTTTCGGGGTTTCAGTAAACCAGAGGCGTGGGACTGAGGGAAAGGGTTGCTGCCTTAACGCCGTCACGTAGCATCCAGCACGGACCTGGGTGCAGCTTCTGCCGTGGGTGCTGTTGAAGTGTGCTGAAAGCAGGCCGTGGAGCTCCCAGCCCTTAACAGGGAATGCCCTGAGCAGCGGGGAGAAGTGCAGTGGGTTTATTCGACCTGCAAGCGGTAGCTGCTGCTCTTGATTATTTTTTAAGCTCTCTGCTGTCATCTTGAAGCGTTTCTTGCTTGAAAACATCCAGAGTTGCTGTATGGATTTTCCCTGCAAGAATTAGTTAGTAGCAGTGGTTGGTGTTTAAGCATTTTGGGTGTGTTTTTTTAAATCAAGGGAATTTTTTTTTCCCCCGATTTGTGGTGTGGATTCAATGGGCCTCCGTGAGAAGGTCTCCAGGCTCTGGGTGGGATCTCTTCCCCAGGCTTCGCTTTCAGCGATGTGCAGCCGTGTCCTGGCTGGTCCTCGTGCTGCGTGTGCCTGCTGGGGGGTCGCTGCCTCGCGGAGGATGCCGCTCCCTCCAAAGGAAGCCGTGAGCCGTGGGTTCGGTTGCTTGCGGGTGCCTTTTCCCTCTCCCTTCCCTCCCGGGCTCCGAGGAACGCGGGCTCTGAGCGAGCTCGCTGTAAGCAGTTCATGTATCTGAAGTTCTTCAGGCTCAACTCATCAGGGCGGTGCTGACATCTGAGCAACCTCACGTTGCGTAGATGATGTCTGTGCTCCCGAAATAGATTTCCGTGTTAAAATACAGCTGGGGAAGGAAGCTTGAGCCGTGTGTTGTCTGACAGATAACGGAGAAGCTGGGTCCTGCCGCAGAGCTGTTCTCGATGCACAGTCGCCAGAAACATCAGTCCGCTTTCTGCCAATCCTGGAATGCAGATGTGTTCCTGAAATCTGCACTGTGTATGGCTGGGATGTTGGGAAATGGCTTGGGCGTTCCTGGAGGGGGGTCTCGTGGCTGGGGCAGTGGAAGGGGAGGTGTTGTGAAGGCTTGTGCTGGCTCCCACTGGCTCTGCTGAGCAGCTCACGGCTCTGTTTCACCTCACAGGAGAGGAGACGGCGGGGGATGACGACTGACCCGTGACTCCGAACCTTGGACAGCGAGGGGGTGGCAAAACTGGGGATACAAACCGGCCGTTCCCCAACCTGCCATCCTTCACCAGGTATGCCTCAGTGGAATGGGATGCTGCCTCCTGGGAGAGCATTTTCAGTTTTTTAGGGTTTTTTTCTTGTTGCAAGAGCTTACATTCAGCACCACTGGGTTGTGCAGCTGGCCTAATGGAAAGGTAAATTGGGAAAGTAAGTCGTGTTGGATCTGCTCCAGAGTGGAAAGGGGTTACTCACGGTAAGTTGAACAGCTTGCCTGGGGTGAGCCGGCTCTTGTTTTCAGATGCGTCGGTCTGGCTGGCTGCCCCGAGCCCATGTGATGGACACTGGAGTTGTACTCCGAGATCAATACTTTGGCTTGTGATTTATATGTAGCAAAAGGAAAATAAGCCCCGGTTAGCTCAAATCTTACGAGCTCACGGGGAGCTGCTCCTGCCCTGGGGTGGGGGATTGCTCCGGGGGCATTCCCAGCCCTCTCCCAGCCAGTTTGCCTGGATTTCGCTTTGCAAGTGAGTCCTGCCCATTCCTTCATGCAACGGGCATCTGGTGTATTTGTTGGAAGGCATTCAAAACCATGAAAACCTGAAAATGGAAGATTTATATAAAAATACGTGGGATACTGAATGCTGCAACTGCCTGGCTTTTGCTTTTTAGATTATTTTGTCGTTTAATGTAGATCTGGGTTTTGTTGTGTTGTTTAATTCTATTTCTTTTTCCTTAAACAAACCAGTCTGGAAAAATGGCACCAGCTACTCCAAGAGAAGCGGGAGTGTGGAGACAAACCAGAGCTCTCCTGTTCAAGAACTGTCTGATTAAGTGTAGGACTAAAAAAAGCAGCGTTCAGGTAAGCAGAGTGTTTGTTCACTGCTGTCTTCCTGTCGGCAGTGAATCCGCATTTAAGCGGCTCCGGAATCGGGGGCAATGCTCACTTTTACGGTAATGTTTCTGAAGCCTCGAGGTCTGCACTGAGTTTTGGCTTGAAATGGGCTTTCTCAGGAGCTACTTTGTGATCCTTTAGTTGAAGATGCATCCTAACGTGTAAGGCATTATCCGGAAAATATTTTTGAATTAATATTGCAGTCTTAGTGCGCTTTTAAAAGCGTTTGTACCAGTAGCCGAGCAGTTTGCACCCATAGTTTAGCAGAATCAGACCTCTCCCAGAGATTTTTGTCTTTTCTAACAGTTTAGCCCTGTGCAGAGGTGATGCTTATGATACTTAAAGACGAATTTTGCGGTGAAGAAGAGACAGTACAATGCTTGGGTAGACTGGGTTCATGGTTTGTCTTTTGCTGCTTTCCAAATAGCATAAGTTTGCTGATAATTAAAGCATGTAGAATTAACCCTTTCTACCTTAAAATGGCTTTTTAGGTTACCAATACATGTGATTAAAAGCCTGTTTCAGTGCCAGAGAAGGATTTGGCATTAAAATTGACTGTTGCATTGAGAAAGGTGCAGGGACCTTGGGAGTCACATAATTAAACTCACAGTCCCTCCTTTAAGCTTTGTGTAACTGAGAGAAACCTTTGGGAAGTCTCGTTTCTACGACGGCTCTGTGACGTTTTCACATTTCTCTCTTTGCCCAGGAGGTCCTTTTCCCACTCTTTTTCTTGTTTTGGCTAATTCTGATGAGCATGATGCACCCGCACAGGAAGTACGGCGAGGTCGCCAACACCAACCTCGGGGTGCTGGATACCTCCGTGCTGGTGAACTTTGTCGTCGGGTACACACCGCCAACCTGGGCGGCACGGGAGATCATGAAGAAAGTGGCTTTCAATAACTTCGAAGACGGTATTTGGACCCCGAGCGTTGTGTTTTCCCGAGTGTGTCCCACGCCGTGGCTTGTGTTTGGGGAGCTCGCTTGCTGCTGTTGCCGATGACGGAAAAATGAGCCTTCCTTTTCTTTTCCATCGCGGATAGGGAACAGACCGCAAAGGCGTTCTATTGCTTGGTGGGCAGATGTTGCAGATGTTCTGGCACTGCCATCTCAAATTGGTTCCCGTTCTCCTGTCGCAGCCAAGCGGTCTGTGGCTGCGGGAAGGGTTTTCAGAGCACCCAGGGGTGAAGTGCAAAGAGCCCCTGGACGGCTCTGGGGCTGATTTGTCCCGTGACATCCTGGGGCAAATCAGCAGATGATAGCATCCTGCAGATACATCAGGTTGCATTTTCTATCCTGTTGTTATAAAAACTCTCCAAATTTCTCTTTTTTTTAATGACTGTTCCCATTAACGCTGTGTCACCTTTTGAAAGCAGTTTTTCTCTTCCATTTTTCTGATTTTTAAAGTGCTTTGCCTGCACAGCTGCCACATCTAGCGTGAACTTATCTTTCCAAAAACACTCTGATGTATTTTTAGTTTGGTATCTTTGATTCTCGTCCTTGCGGCATGCATGCTTCAAAGGTACCGCGGAGAAACAGCCCAGCCCGACATCTGCGTTTTCCTCACCGGCGCCCTCGGCCGCTTTGCGCAAAGGGTTCCACTTCCCGCCTGCGCAGCTCTTCTTCCTCCTGTCCTCTGCTGGAGTCAGTGGCAAAACACCCTGTTTTCATATATTTAGTCCTCTGCACTGATTTAATCTGCCCTTCCTGAAAAGCACTGGTGCTGGAGAATAAACTCTTGGGTTTTTCAATCCTCGGGCAGAGGATTGGGGCACAGAAGCTCTTGGAGCAGCAAAAAACGGGGGGGAAAATTGGGAAGACTCGGGTGTAAATTTGAATAACCCACCCTGCTACTGAGCGACACTCCTGCGGGTTTCTGTCCAGGGAAATATTTCGTTTACTAGAATAAAAATACAACCTATATATATCCAAACCCAAATAAATCATTAATTATTAGCATGACACTTCTTTAAAACAGCGTTGCACAGTTTTTCTTCCTGCTGTGCTGGAGCCTAAGTCAACATGATGGTTTCTTCTCCCTCGTAGGCATCATCACAGAGGAGTATTTAAGCGAAGAGGAGCTGCAGGAGGCCAGTGCTTTTAAACCCTCAAACTTTGTGGGTGTGGTGTTCAAGGATGCCATGTCCTACCAGCTGAGGTTTCCTGATTCAGTCGCTATGTCTTCCATCTATATGGAATCGAGAGGTAAATGTACATGGTCTTCTATGTACCTGTAAGGGGATAAATGGAAGAATCATTTCCTCTCTTTCTTTTTTTGGCCTCATGTTGCATGTGTGAGGGTCATGCAGTTTTTTTCCACTGTTTAGGAGGGATGACCTCGAGCTGCACCATCTTTTCCTTAGGGATAGGACAGCTGTAACTGTGGCTTTTTTTAAAATACCTTGCTTTATTCTGCAGCCAGTTGCTCCAACCTGCGGAAAGGGTGCGAATCGGTCACGTACTGGAGCTCGGGATTTACGGCTCTGCAAGCCCGCATCGATGCTGCGATTATACAGGTAGCTCTGGGAACCTAAAGAAACCAAGGAGGTTCAGATCCGTGGATGCCTTGGCTCTGACTGTTTTTGTGATGTTGTCTATTAATTGGGTGAAATGCCATATCAAAAATTAGCATGAATCAGAATATTTCATGAGTGTTCTTGTCCGGTTGAGTAATGCGGGTGTTTGTCCTCGCTTGGGTCCAAAGGAGCCTGAACCGCGCATCCCGCAGGTGTCAGAGCATGACGGCTTGGCAGGGCTCCCCCCAGAATGCTATCCAAGATGCTGTGCCAAGAGGAGCTGCAGAACTTGCCTTGCCATTTTACTGTCAGTATTTATCAGCAATGTCCCTTTCCCTGTTTCCCCCCTGTCATGCCGTTCACAGTGAGAACGATTCTTGTCTTTTTAGGTGATAGGAATTGTAAAATTGTTCATTTTCTTTCCAGATTTTCTGATTTCTGTGCTTTTGGACTGGGATTTGGGGACAGGGAGGTTCTGGGGTCTCCGGATCTCTCCCTGACAGTGGGGATGGAGACGGGTCTGAGATGGGGCTGTAAAATCAGAAATGATGCAAAAATAACCCTTCCTTCTTTTCCTTTCAGCTGAAGACTAATCAGTCGGTTTGGGAACAGCTTGAACTGACGAGAGCAGTGGTCATGGGAGAGGCTGCTGTGGTGGAAATAGACAATTTTCCTCGGGCGATCATTTTGATTTACCTCGTGATCGCTTTCTCACCGTTTGGGTATTATTTGGCAATTCATATTGTGGCAGAAAAGGAGAGGAAGTTGAAGGAATTCTTAAAAATATTGGGACTTCATGACACCGCCTTTTGGTATGTGAGTGTTTGGTGTAGCCTATTCTTTATAAACGAAATATAAACTATAGAAAGGAATATAAACCAATAACACTTTCTAGGAAAGCTTTTCTATCCCATCCTCCAGTCTTCTAATTTTTTTCAGTCCAATTAACTGAAGCACCCTAAAAGTGAGATTCTCTATAAAGCCTGACATGGAGTATCATGGAAATAGGAATATTTTCATAAGTAAATACCAGTGAAATGCTGTTGCATTTACGCATATAAAGTCACGCCAGACTTGGAGGGATTAAATGTGATGATGGTTATTATGTTAGTTCGTTTCTATTGGTTTTAAATATTTTTTGGCTCAGTACCTCCTTTTCTGGAGGTTCAACAGGTAACCTGCCGTCTCCCTTTAGAGTTTATCAGTGTCATGTCTGTTTGCGGCACGTCCGTGGTGACAGACCTTACCTAACTGAGTCCTTCCCCGGCAATGCGGGTCCACTGGCCCCGCTCGCCCCTCGCACATCAGCACTGAGCACCTCCAGTCTGGAGAAAATCATTTTACTTTTCCCAGTGGGAAATGGGAGCGATCTGCAAAGGCACGCTGGGAATGCAGCTCTGACTGGCTGCTGAATGTAACTCAGAAACTTGTTTGTGAGGAAAGTGTGTCAGTTTTTACTACCTGTGCACAAACTGCCCTTGTTTCCCGAGGTCAGAATTGCTCACAGACTTGCAGCTCTGTTTTTAAAAAGAAAAGGATTTTATTACCCTGCCCAGCTACTGGAATGACGAGAGTATTAAATTTTAAATAGAATTTCTTTAATTATTGAAACCTACTACTCAGTTACCTTCTTTTGGTTATACCAGGGAATTCATTATGCAAGTTGAAAAAATAATAATGAATCATCTAATTGTTTGTCTTCTTGATGCTGTGGGTGTTGATGTGTGTGCTCTGATGCTTAGAATGATTACAGGGATGTTTACAAGGGCTCTTTTTATCTGGGGGCTCTTGTTTTGTTGCAGGCCTGTCCTTTGGTGCAGCTGTCTGGAATGTTAAAGAACGGTAGTTTTGGTTATTTTTGTATGTAAATAAATCAGGATGGGAATTCATTGACTGGTTTCTGTTCTTCTTTTTCCCCTTTTGCTCCTAGGCTTTCGTGGGTGCTGCTCTACGTGAGCCTGATCTTTGTCATGTCCATTCTTATGGCAGTGATTGCAACGGCCTCTTCCCTCTTTCCCCAGAGCAGTGCCTTTGTGATATTTCTCCTTTTTTTCTTCTATGGAATCTCTTCAGTAAGTATTCCTGGTCAGTTCAGCCATCCCATCCCTGTTTTATTTTTCCCCTTCCCACCTGATCTTGTTCTCTACTAAAGCATTTGGAGCAAATGTAGGAGCAGAGGGTGGTGGTGTCTTGCCCACCTCCATCCCCTTCCTGGGTCTGCTCTGGTTTGGCATGTTGTACATCTCTCGGCCGTCTCTGTGAGAAATATCTTTCCTTACTGAGGTATCTGAGTTTATAATCACAGCCTGGTTTGGGTTGGAAGGGACCTTAAAGCCCCCCCAGCCCCACCCCCTGCCATGGGCAGGGACACCTTCCATAGCCCAGGTTGCTCCAAGCCTCATCCAGCCTGGCCTTGAAGACAATCATCTGTCTGTGAACTGGAACGCTGTCTGTACAGCACCGTTTTGATGTCCAAACACGTGCCCTCTTCTAAACATGTGCTGTTACCATACGGTGTAATTTAAAACCTTAATTAAGGGCCAGAGAATTAATTTATACAGCACATTTCTTGTCTGAGCTCATAAGCAACCGGTGCAGAAATAGTTACTTGCTTGCTGTCTGTCCTTTACAGGAGCTGTACTGAGCAGGGGGCGTATGCACGTTCAGTCCTACAGCTCCTTATTTCCATTGGTAATTTTTGTCTGTGCTCTGTGACCTGCCATCTTTGGGAAACTGTCCCTCCGATGCTCTGTGTGGAAGGGAGGTGTGGGACGTGGGTGAATGCTGTAGTGACTATACCAGGAAAATGAGTTCATTATCAGAGGAAAAAGTGAAGCTATGGTCTTTCTACTTCAGTTTTTCAATACCCTGTATTCTTAGGTTTTTTCATATGGTACTTTCTTACCTTCTTTTTCAATCCGTTCTTAGGTTTTCTTTGCACTTATGCTGACACCTCTATTTAAAAAGTCAAAACATGTGGGTATAGTGGAGTTCCTGGCGACGCTGGTGTTTGGCTTTGTGGGCCTTAACATCGTCCTGCTGGAAGATTTCCCCAAGTCTTTTGTGTGGATTCTCAGCCCCTTGTGTCAGTGCAGCTTCTTGATCGGGGTCGCGCAGGTAAACAGCTTCCGATTGTAACCTCATCGCGCTCGCGTGTCTTGCGTCCTTTTCATACAGACGGTGGTGTAGATCTTCTGGAATATTTATGGGTTTTTCAATAAACTGATGATGCTGGGGAAAAGTGCCTGTTTTGCAACTTCCCATGGCAATGTAATATCAAGTGAAATACAGTGTGCATCAAGCAACTGTTATTCTCTGTGTTCATTGCTGTGATCTCAGTCACCTTCTCACTATTTTTCATTTTCTTGCTGAGTTTGGCATCGTGTCTTTCCAGGCTGGCACGGTGCTGGTGTGTAACCTCTCCCTCTGTCCGTGTTTGTTGGCAGGTCATGCATCTCGAAGATTATGAGGATGGTGCAACATTCTCAAATCTGAATGACGGCCCTTACCCACTCTTTATCTCTCTTATTTTATTGGTGCTGGACAGCATATTTTATCTGCTTGTAGCTGTCTACCTTGATCAGGTTATCCCAGGTACGTTCATCAGAAAAACTGAACTGTGCTAGCATCCCCGAGTTCTGAAGTTCTGAGTCCCCTGGGTTGTCATGGCTGGTGACATTTCTGACTTAATTTCGGCCATGGGGAAAGAATCATAAAATCACAGACTGGTTTGGGTTGGAAGGGACCTTAATGCTCATCTAGTTCCAACCCCCCTGCCATGGGGAGGGACACCTTCCACTAGAGCAGGTTGCTCCAAGCCTCATCCAGCCTGGCCTTGAAAAGGAGATGCTGCTGTTCACAAATATATTTTACACTATGACTCAGAATGCTTTTGGCTGAAATAATTTATTTGCTAATAAATATGCTATTTATTTGCCGTAAAAACTCTGAGATGTGAGGAGGGGTGTTAGCATGATCAGGGTTGATGGTGTTTATGTATGCCAGCTAAATTTGTTTCCCTATTTCTAGAGGAAAAGGTTCCTTGCTGTCTTAAGGAGTGCCTCAGCCTTTGCAATTTGCTATTGCAGGGTTCAGAATTAAAGACTGCCCTGCCTGTTCCAGCCCTTTCCCTGTGACAGCCATAGTTTAACGTGAAACACGGAATAAGGTTATTAATCTTGCGACTAATGCCTGGTTAAGCCCTTCAGCTCCCTTTGCCTCTGATCTCCCTGGCTTTATGTTGCCTGTGTTTAAGTCACTGGTTGTGCAGCACTGGGGATTCCTGTTGCGTAGGAAGAGATTTGCACATACATTTAACTACTTAGGAAAGCTGGAACCGGCTAGCAGTGTTGATGGGAACGCTGGCTTGAATGTGGATAATGTGAACTTGGCTGATGAAATCCCTCCAGGATGGGGGTGCGGGCTGGTTTCTAAACCTGTAGCAGGATAGCTCATGGCTTTTGTGGCTAAAACCCCAAAACTGAGGTATATCTGCAGCTCTGTTAAGAAATTGGCCTTTTCCTTTTATTATCCAGGGGAGTTTGGACTACGCCGCACGCCGTTTTTCTTTATGAAGCCCTCCTTTTGGTCAAAGCACAGAAAAAATTACAAGGAGTTGTACGAGAGCAGCATCAACGGCAGCTTGAGTTTCAGTGAGATAGTGGAACCCGTGCCTTCCGAATTTCAGGGGAAAGAAGCCATCAGGTACGATTCCTGCTCTGCCCCAAGTGCAGATCACCTGCATCCCTGACTTTCTGATGTGCAGCTTGACAATGACTCCTAGTTCTCCAGTCGTTGGATTCAAATAGCATATGGTATGCATTGCAGAGAGTCCTACACACACACACGGGGAGGCTAGTTTCCATTTTCAGTGAAGCCCCATCGTCAACAACATGGATACTCTCCAAGGATAAATCACTGGGCTTAAAGAAAGGGTTTGTCTGTGGGTTGTGCAGTTGGAGTCCTCTCAAAACCGGCCGGTTTTCCATTCCCTCAGTTTCACTGAGGCCACGAGAGGCATAAGCGGTTGCAGATGTCGAAACGCCTGCTCTTCTGGGAGGGCTTAGTTTCTGGTAACATGCATTTGAGGAGAAAAAGCTGAATTCTAGGTTTGTGTGAAGGCTGTTGTGTTCTCCATAGACCAGAGAACTTGGTGGTGGTTTTACCCAGCTGCTGTGTCTAAGAGGGTAAACCAAAACAAAGAGGTGGCCATGGTCTCATCTTTCATGTTGCATTTTGTGTCACCTCTTCTCTTGCATCGGGGCTGTCACGTGTTTTTAGTGTGTCTCAGATGCTATTTTCAGTATCTTCCTTTTAGCCCTTGTTTCCATCATTTTCCAGTGGCACAGCTTGATGTGGTTTGAGGAACTCTGTGTCTTCACTCCTCCTGGTTGGCTCTGCTGAACTCAAATATTTGAGCTTTGTGACCAGAATGAGTCTTGTGTTGTCTGGGCTATCCATGTCTCTTTCTGCATCTGCCATATGTTCAAGGGTCCAGTTTTAACCCTGATGTTCGCATGGGAACACTGTGGCTGTTTTTGCGTTATTCATCCACCCTGTCCACAGCATCCTTCCACCAGCTCTCCATCATTCTCACGCTATCTTGTCGTCTTTACATGTTGAGGTTTTGTTTTTTCATACCTGGTTCTCCTCCCCGCTATTCACACTTGTAATCTGCTACCCATCCCCATTTTCAGCGTGGTCAGGCTTCCAAAACCTACCCTTCACGTCGTTCCTTCAGATGAACTGGTTGGCTTTTTCATTTTGAAAAACAGTGAGGCTGGAAGGAAGATTTTTACCTTTCTTGGAGACAAAGATACCTGCTTTCATGTATCTAACTTGGATGAAGGGCTGTCATTAATCACATTTTTCAGGTCTGGTGAACTAATACCTATTTTGCATATCCTGTCTGTTGAGTTTTCTGTTGTACTGTGAATATACTGGGGAGTAGCCATGCCCTTTTCTAGCCTGGGAAACCTCCAGTGCATTGTTCTACCCTGTGAAAGAAACACAGATGTGCAATAATTCAGCCTGTCATCATCGGAGGTACCTTGGAAGGTGACGAGGCAAAGCTTTCTAATACCAGGGTGGAGCTGGGCTCAGTTCTGCCACAAGATGCCCTGACTCTTGACCTGCCTCTGAGGGTCTTCAGCCTGTCTACTGCCACTTGAGCACGGTTGTCTTGTGACTGTTGCTGAGTGTTGATCATTCAAAATGACATACAGAGGTCTTGAAATAGTTTATAAAACGACATGTCTTCTTTCAGAATCAGCTGTGTTCAGAAAACATTCAGGAAAAAGGGGGAAACTGTGGAGGCTCTCAGAAGTAAGAACACTTTAGCTTTCTGGCCGCTTATCAGATAGAGGAGCAATAGCTGAATTGTTGAGTGCTCTTTTGTGTTTCAGTTCGGGCTTTTTGGTTTCTTTTAGTGGGGTGGGACCGTGGCGCATGTATGCCAGATGTGCTCGTGTGTGTCTTCCTTTAAACCCTTGCTTAAAACGGTACCCCTCCCATCACTAAAGAAAGCCTGCTGACACCATCCCCGTTACTCCTCCTCCGCTCGTGCCGGTAGTGATACCACCTTCCCTGCCCCGTCTCCCTGATCTTTCAATCTCATTTCCCCACGTGGGTTTTAAACGTGGCCACCCCACAGACAGTGCAGGGGCTGTCCCAGCCCCAGCGTGCCGTGCTGGGGCACGGAGGTAAGGCATCCCTTCGGGCACGGCGTAAATGCATACCCCATATGTCGGTATTTGAGCTGACCTCTGCGGTAGGAGCCGGCTTCGGGTGCCGCGGGCACGTCTCTAATCTCTCCTCTTTCTCTTGTGTCTGCTCGGGGACCAGATTTATCCTTCGACATCTATGAAGGTCAGATCACAGCTCTGCTCGGGCACAGCGGGACCGGGAAGACGACGCTGATGAACATCCTTTGCGGGCTGTGTCCACCCACAGACGGTGAGCTGCTCCGGCGTCAGGAGGTTTTGAGTACCCGGCTTCGGCACACCGAAGCTGCTTACCTTTGTGGTCGTTTTAGGGTGCACCAGATTTTTCTGTGGATGATGTATGAATTCATGTCCATGTTATCCTGCTTTCTGGTTGTAAAATACTCCCAGCTGATTGCTCCTGACTTTTTTTATTTTAGGGTTTGTCTCTGTCTACGGGCACAAAGTCTCAGAAATCGATGAAATGCTTGAAGTGCGACAAATAGCAGGCGTCTGCCCCCAGTCCGACATACACTTCGATATATTAACTGTGGAGGAGAATCTCTCCATCTTTGCTGCAATTAAAGGAATCCCGCAGAATGATCTGATACAAGAGGTCAGTCACTGGCACAGATACTCTTACATGTTCATTTTAACCAGTAAGGCAAAATAACCTTACATTTTATAGGTGTTTCCTTAAGTTTGCAGGGGAATATTGCTTTACAGTATAACAGACAAGGAGGTGGAGTATGACAGATGTTTTTACATAGAGAAGCTGTTAAGTATTCCTAGGAAACTAGGACGCTCATGAAATGTCTTAAATTCCAGCGGTTGCATTCAGGCATGGACACCGTGTAGCTGCTCCAGGTTTGCTGGAGCTGTGGGTGCACAGGTTCGTCAGCAGGGTGCACAGTTCAGATACAGAACGTGCTGTGAATTAGGAACAGTTCCTTTGGATGTTAATTGTTAATAATCTGGTTAAAACAAACAAAGTATTATTTTAACAATAAATGCGTTTCTTATCCTTTAAAGGTGCAGAAAGTGTTGTTGGATTTGGATATGCAGCCGATCAGAGACAACCAAGCCAAGAAACTAAGTGGGGGGCAGAAGAGGCGGCTGTCGGTGGGAGTTGCTGTCCTCGGGAACCCAAAGGTGAGCCTGGTGCAGGCGTTCCCAGTTTGGTGTCACTGATACACCTCTTGTCAAAACCGGCTAACGCATATAGTAATGCGTAAGATGCAGATGTTGCTGCTGTCAGCAACTGTCTCTTCTTTCCCCCCCCTCATCTGTGGTTTAAACAATAAAAATCACTTCAATAGCTCAACTTTTGTGCTTGAGGATGTTAATGGTTTAGGTGATGGTGGTGGCTCCGGATTTGATCCCTTTGTGAGATAAATAGCATGACAAGTTTTGTGTTGGTTCTGGCAGGTAACATTTAGCCCCCAGCAGTGTCGGAGACTTCTCTTGCAAAAGCCATCCAGACCCTTGGAGCAGGGATGGAGCCAGAGAGCGCTTTTGTGTTACAGATCTGTTTGTTCTGGCCTGTAAGAATGGGGACTGCTTTTAGATCTGTGTTTAGAAGTGATGCGTGTGACAGTTCAGTGGGATTTTAGAAGCGTGAGTGTGTATTTAACCATCCCTTAAAGGAAGCGTGTCTGTAACTAAGCGTAATTGTATTAGAAACAGAACAAAACAGACTGTGGTGTTAACTTCCCATATGATTTTCCCATTTGTCACAACAGGAGATGAGTTTATTCAGAGCTTGTGAAGGCGGCTGCCGTGCTGTACGGTTTAGAGCACTGACGAGCAGGGTTCAAACGAAAAAGCCCAGTGTCTGTTACCTGGGGGCATTTCCCCCCGTCAGTACCTTGCACATAGATACAGGTTTGCAAACGCTTCTTGTGTTCGCACACAGGTTTTACTGCTGGATGAGCCGACTGCGGGTATGGATCCGTGTTCGCGTCACATCGTCTGGAACCTCCTGAAAAACAGGAAAGCCAATCGCGTGACCGTCTTCAGTACCCACTTCATGGACGAGGCAGATATCCTCGCTGGTGAGTCCCGCTGCGTACTGCCCGGGGTGCCCGGTCTGCAAGCGACAGTCGCGTTCTAGGGCAAACGTGATGCTTCTCGAACTGTGGTGTATGCCTTTATTTGAAATCCATAGTTGTGTTCTGGAGTAAATTGACAATCCTCTGATTTTTATTTGTTTGGTTGTTTCTAGATCGTAAAGCTGTGATTTCTCAGGGGATGTTGAAATGCCTCGGATCATCTCTCTTTCTCAAAAGCAAATGGGGGATTGGCTACCGCTTGAGGTATTCTCTCTGCGTTACCTGTTACGTGCCATCACCTAGCATTACTTTGTTTTCTGCTTGCTGAAATCTGTGAGACAGCAACCCCTGTCCCCAGAAAGGATCCTTTCATCATTCTCATACAAAGTGTTTGGCGCTCTGCAGGCTGATTGTTCTGATGCCGATGCGAGGAGAAAGGCAGGCTTTAAAACCCCAATTTCCTGTGCCTTTTTCCTAGTATGCACATCGATGCCTATTGCAACACGGAAGCTACGACCTCGCTGATAAGGCAGCACATCCCTGCAGCCAGCCTGATCCAGGAGAACGACGAGCAGCTCGTGTACACCTTGCCGCTCAAGGACATGGACAAGTTTGCAGGTATTGATGTTTCTGTTGTGCTGCAGCCTTGAACGGCGGCAGAGGAGAAATCCATCAAGCCTGGCTGTAGCCTGCACTTCTTGTTAAATTGTCACTTCTGCATTTATGTGGTTTTATAGGTATTTATTATTTGGCTGATGCTCAGCCAGCAGTGAGCTCTTCCTCAGGCAAGCAAGGACCTTGTCGTCTCCTCCCAGGGGGTTGTGGTGTTGTGAGGGATGTGGGTACCAACAGCAAGCGCTGGGGAGGTGTCTTCAGCAGAAGGGTGATGAGACCCTTTCGCTTGAGAATCCCCTTGTCCTGCATCCTCCATCAAGGAGCCAGAAAGCCCCAGGTCCTATAATAACCAGTCCTTTGTGCTGTGAACCATAAAGACCATGGTGTCCCTGCCTTAAAATTCACTGGTGAGAAGGGAGAGTGGAGCAGATGTGTTGGGTTCACTAGATGGCAGCAATCATCTGGTCAGTCCTACACAGGGCTCCTTGTTCATTGCCCAGGAGAAAATGGAAGAAGTGGCGTGTCTTTGCGGTGCGTGGGAAGCTGAGGGAGGATCAATACTGATGTGAATGTGGCTCGTATTTCATAAGTGCTTTTTTCCCTGTTACATTTAAACCGTTAATAATTTATTAGCTTTACCTTCAGCAGCCACTGCCTGTACTTTTGAAAACCAGGCATCTTTATGCAAGGTTGAATCAGTTCCCCTGAACTGTTTTGAGGAGCAGCTGAGGTTAAGGATATGTCTCAGCTACTGGGGCAGAAGAAATCATGGAGATCTGATGAGCATCATCAAGTATCCAACAACTCTTCCTGTTTTATGCATTTGTGTTTCCCTTCAGTTGTCCTTGGCTCTGAAGCTCCTCATTTTGTCAAGTCCTTCACTTCATAGGGCTGGAATGAGTCCAATAGTGGTTTTTATACCACCATGCTAATAAGTGCTCTCCTTCTGAACACCGTTTTGGTCTTCAAGCTATGCATGCTGTCTAGGATCTCCTGCCCAGAGAAGCTGGCTTTACAGATCTGAGTATTTATATATATAAAAAGATTACTCAGTGTTTTTGTGGGAAAAATTCTGTGCCTGAGTAGGGATCTGGGTAGGAAGAGGTGTCCTGCAGTCCCTTTGTGCGATGATCCCAGGAGAGGGGCTCACAGCCAGCCAGGAGGCAGCTTTGAGCCCAGGAGCTTCAGTATACTGAGGTGGTATTCATAAAAACTACAGCTTCGGGAAAGATCCCACATTTCCCATATCTGACCACAGAGGTTGAGGTTTTACGCTGGAAGGAGCTTATCCCAACCTTGGTTCTCAGGCCATGACCTGTGTGTTCATAACTAAGCCACCACATTTACACGTTACCTGCTGTTTAGAGTCCCGTGCAGAAGGCTTGGGGGTGCCTCTGACAAGCTTGAAGATCTCTCAGGAAGATGATTTAGCCTGGTTTTGGAGCAACCAACACGTTTCACTTCTGTCCCTAGGCTTGTTCTCTGACCTTGACACTCATTCCCATTTGGGCGTTATCACCTACGGCGTCTCCATGACGACACTGGAGGATGTCTATCTGAAGCTGGAAGTCGAGGCAGAGATTGATCAAGCAGGTGGGATGGACCCCAGCGGCTGTTCTCCTGTTTTCACTCCTATTCGATTTAGTCTTAATTAGCGTACAATTGTCCATGCCCCATCGCTGCTGGAAGGAGTTTTGCTGTGGAGGGAAGAAGACCATCTCGTGCAGAGCGCTGCATCCAGCAGCACGGGGTGCCTTCTGTCTCGCCTCATTCCAGGCTTTTGAAATATTTAACGTGAAAAACACAAAAGCAGCAAGTTGGGTGGGGAGAGATTCTGGAAGGATCCGGGGAAAAGCATTTTACTGGCCGTCTCTGCAGTAATTAATTTTTCATCCAGTGTGCTTACATCTAACTTCTTTGCTTTACAGTGGCAGTTTTTATGGCTAGCCTTTAAAAATGTGCATAATTTTCCTAATGGAGCTTACATTTAAGAGATTGTAAATGCACAGTATAAAATTTATTTCCAACCCTCTGTGAGAACAGTAATATTCGTAGCCTGCATTTAAGCCTGAAATAGCTGAACTTGTCTTCCCCACACCCTTAAAAGTGATTTTCAGTTCAAATGAAAAGTTGGGACTGCTTAAGATTACTCCACAATTAATCCATTCTTCTTTTTGATGTCAACTTTGGATGGTTTAAGCTACCTTAAATCTTTTTAGAGCTTTCTTTGTGATACAGACTAGTGAACTATCCTGCTCTGCAAAGTTTTTGCGTGGGTATAAGAGGGTTTAACAGCTGAATATGCTGATACTGAATAATACAAGTGCATGCATAGGCCAGTGGTATGAAATTGGGGTGAGTTGCACCTTTTGAGCTGCAGAAATTTGTATCCTCTGCCTTGAGTGTCTGCTGTGCATGTGATTCAGAGCGTTGGGGTAGATTGGTGTCATTGAGCTTGGAGTTAAGTTGAGGAACTGGGGTGAGATGAGGTGGGTTCTGCAATAGCAAGGGGAAGGAATTGATTGCCAGCCAGCTTTCTCCAGCCCTACCACTTCAGACCACGTAGCTCTGTCAGAGCATCACATTTGTAGAGTTTTACTCTTTTTCAGATTATAGCGTGTTCAGCTCCCAGCAAGTGCAGGATGAAGTGGATACAAAATCCCTTGACGATATGGAGCAGAGCCTCCTGGTACTCTCGGAGGCGAAGATGCCAGCAATGAGCAATACAGCCCTCTGGAAGAAGCAGGTTTCCACCATAGCAAAAGTTCATTTCCTTAGTCTCAAGCGGGAAAATAAATGTGTGAGAGTTATGTAAGTATTGGGGCTTTCTCATTTGTGTACAAAATTCTCAAAACCTGTTTGAGTGATACCAGAGAAAGGGCAAGATGCAATTGATTTTTTTCCCATAGTTACACTTAGAAAATTATAAGTGTGAAGCTAGCCGTTACTGTAAAATACATGCTTTTTTGGGGGCGAGGGAGATGTTGTTTTGGTAGCATGCACATAAACTGGATTGGCTTTCTCCGAATTTTAATCAAACCAAAACTTTTATTTCTTTCAGGTTGTTGCTTTTTCTGATTTTTCTTGTAGTTCAGATTTTATTGTTTTTCATACACCACATCATCAAAAATTCTGTAGCTGCTATCAAACTCTCCCCAGATTTGTACTTGCTGAAGCCCGGAGAGGACTATCACAAGTACAGGAGTCGCCTTCTGCTGCAGAACTCCACAGGTAGGAGACCAGGGTTGTGCTGTGGGGTGGCTCCTGCCTTCACCTCTCTCCATCGTAGGATTTCACATGGTGGGGGAAGATGGTGTGTGCTACTTTTGGCGTTGGGGACAAATATTTTCCTTGAAATTAACCCAAATGAAGAGTTTGCAAGTACCCAGAGATGGTAGAGAGTGAGGATCCTTTGTGCCCTAGGGTTTGGTTCAGAGATCCTCCTCCTATGTCTGATGGTGATGTCTCGAGACAGAAAGATGAGCCCTGTGAAGGAATTGGGTAGGGAGACCTTTAGGTACATCAACATTAAAATCCTGCTAAAAATGTTTCGGAAAAGTCCTTTTTGATTGAATTTAGAATGTTTTAAAAGTGGGTAACAGTGATCCGGGCAATAGAAACGAGTGTCTCTTGGAGCCATTGGGAATTTGTGCATAACACAACTTCATTTCTCCAGACACTATCAAAGTGCTGCCGTTTTCCTGCTCTCTTGGCTAATTCTCTGTTAACTGAAACTTTGAGTATCCTGATAATGCTCGTTAGCAACTCCGGTTCCTCGCTGCTGTGTTTGACTTGCACAAATTCAGTACCTGAAGGGGCTACAAGGAAGCTGGGAGGGGCTTTTTACATGGGCCTTTAGTGACAGGACAAGGGGTAATGGGTATAAATTGAAATCAGGGAGGTTTAGATTAGATAGCAGGAAGAAATTCTTCACAGAGAGGGTGGTGAGGCACTATAACAGGTTGCCCAGAGATGTTGTGGATGCCCCATCCCTGGATGTCTTCAAGGCCAGGCTGGATGAGGCTTGGAGCAACCTGGTCTAGTGGAAGGTGTCCCTGCCCATGGCAGGGGGGTTGGAACTAGATGATCTTTAAGGTCCCTTCCAACCCAAACCATTCTATGATTCTATGACAGGAAAAGGGGTAATGGGTTTAAACTGAAAGTGGGGAGGTTTAGATGAGATATCAGGAAGAAGTTCTTCCCGGAGAGGGTGGGGAGCACTGGGACAGGTTGCCCAGAGAAGCTGTGGATGCCCCATCCCTGGGAGTGTCCAAGGCCAGGCTGGATGAGGCTTGGAGCAACCTGGGCTATGGAAGGTGTCCCTGCCCATGGCAGGGGGGTTGGAACTAGATGATCTTTAAGGTCCCTTCCAACCCAAAACCGTTCTGTGATTCTATGATTCTAAATCCACTGGAGAATATAACCAAAAAACTTTCTTGAATTCTTTGGAGGCTGCTGAGTGGGAAGACAAAGTGAAAACATGCATGTTGTTCAGGATAGCATCAGACTCCTTTTTTGTGGGCATGGGTAAAGGAACTGTGATCTTTCATCATAGGCTTCTCTCAGTCAGAAAATGCATCAGTAGTTTTGGGTAAAATACTCCCAAGCTGGTGATGAATAGTCACGTTGTTTTCTCTGTCTTACACCAGAATCGGATATCGATGACATTGTCCACTCTCTTGGGAGCATGAACATACTCCTGGAGATGTTCAATGACAGTGACTACGTCTCGGCCGCACCTCACAGCGCAGCTTTAAACGTGTTTGACCTTGAATCCAGACAGGTAAGACGGACAGACTGGCTCGGTCGTGTCCCAGAGAGCAGAGAAGCAGCTGCTTAGGGCCTGGGCTTGTTGTACTCTTGCTCCAAGGGCACCTACTGAGTCATATAATCAAATAATACTGTATAATACTGCTTACACAAGAGGCCTGGAAAGAGGAATTTTATTGAGAATGGAAATATTATCAAAATAAATGTTCTTCCATGATGATTATGGTAGGCTAGTAAAACTTCCATCCTCCTTTTTTCCCCACAAGGATACAAAAAGCCAAGAGAAATATTTTGCTTCGCAAGAGACCTGGCGTAGGAATTTTTTTTTTTTTTTTTTACTTATACTGGCTGAATTATACACTTTGACAGAAGTATAATTCCATGGTGCTCTCATGTGTAAAGAAAAATGAGTTTCTTGGATTGTAAGTATTCATTTCAGTATGGTCACCGAAGGAGCATCAGAAAGATTTGAACATTGGGGGTGTATTTAATCTCCAGCTTTGCAGTATGCCAGCTCTGCCCCTTGTTCCCATTTTTATTCATTGCAAACTGTTAATATTAGTGTGACAGTGCAGCCCTTAGCTAATGTAAATTTTTGCCTGTCTGGTTTTTAAATGTATTAGCAAGAACATACAATTGCAGGTCGTCGTGTGTTTTATTTCTCAGGCTGTAATTGTCTGGAGCATCATTTGTCACAGCATTACAGTTGCATAAAACATTCTGGGAGTTTATCCCAAATAACTTGTTCTCTATGAGAGTGACTGTTCTGTTGAATTAGGTTACGAGTTGTAACCACCCCGCGCAGCCCAGAGCTTCCTGCAAAGCACACACAATTATGCAAAGGTTTTTCCTGATATTCAGGTTTAATTAAGCCCATAGGAGACCCCTCCCAGGGTATTACCCTTCGTGCAGAAGAATTCGTATAGCAAACACTTTCCTTTCCAGAACTATGTTTTCATGGTCATATTCAACAGTACCATGGTGCATTCCCTGCCAGTTTTGATGAACATGGTCAGCAACCTGCTGCTGCGTGGTTTGAACGTGACGGAGAGCATTCAGATCTGGAGCAACCCCTTCGTTCAGGTGAGCAGCACCCGGGGCTGCACAGCAAAAATCACCCTTAAAGATGGGGCAGGGTGCGAGGGCGAGTGCAAAAACACACGGAAAACGGAGGGAGAAGCTGGTTGGGCCTGTCTGCATCACCAAGGGCGGTGCTCCACGCAGTGCTCTTGGGAAGGATTGGACCTCAGGAGCTGTGGAGTAAGTCCTTGGTGGGACAAACCTTTGCAGAATTGGAAAGGACTTGAAAGGGGTCGGGATTTTGTTCTGCAGGTTGTGGAAGTGGAGGAAAAAGTGCCTTGGAAAGAGGATGTCCTGGTGGGAATTTTTTACAGGTTTGGTACAGGGTTCCTGCAGGGGCTGAACACGGGGTGTGCTGGAGGTCATCTGCCTCCTTGTGCAGAGCTGGGGTGGCCGCAGGAGAAGGAGGACCTGCTGCAGGAGATAAACTCCTAGAGCACTTTATTAGATGCTTTTATAAACGCTTCGAAAACCTCCATAGGTATTTTTCTTCATAGAATCACAGACTGGTTTGGGTTGGAAGGGACCTTAAAGCCCTCCCAGTCCCATGGACAAGGACACCTTCCACTAGACAAGGTATGGGGCATCCACAGCTTCTCTGCGCAACCTGTCCCAGTGCTCCCCACCCTCTGCTGGAAGGATTTCTTCACAATGTCCCATCTAAATCTCCCTCTTTCTGTTTAAATCCATTACCCCTTGTCCTGTCACTCCCTGCCCTTGGAAAAAGTCCCCCCCAGCTTCCTTGGAGCCCCCTTCAGGCACTGGAAGGGGCTCTAAGGTCTCCCTGGAGCCTTCTCTTCTCCAGGCTGAACCCCCCAACTCTCTCAGCCTTTATGCTGTGGCTCAGGTGATCCTGAGATACACAGAATATGTGTTATAGCATTTACAGGCAAGTTCCAATTCTAAATGCATTTTTTGCTCATGTGCCTTCTGGTATTGAAGAAATCGGATTTGTATTTCAGAATCTTCCAGACACAATTTTCAGACTAGAGATCTATTTTGAAGCTGTGCTCCTGGGAATCATTATTACTGGAATGCCACCTTATTTTGCCATGGACAATGCAGAAAACCATAAGGTAAACTCCCAGATGTGGGTTCATAGCCTGGTCTGACTTAAAAACATTGGGGTTTTGAGGGAGATCTTAAGAAGCGTTATAAATAGTATCTTTTGCCATGAGTTGGGTCATGGATGTGACTGCTGTTTGCTGCCTTGGGTAGAGCAGATTTGGGAAAAGCCCTTTTGTTTTCCATGGAAATGCTTTTTGTGTTTTTGGCAGCTAAAATCAGCAATAACTTGGGTAACTCACTGATGCCACATCAGTGCAAAGCCTGAAAAACAAGATCCTGCTCACATGCCGAGGCAGTTTAACATCGCTTTTATTTCAATTAACACTTCATTAATGTTGCACTTTCTTTTTCCATCGCAGATCAAAGCGTACACGCAGCTGAAGATAGCGGGGCTTTATCCCTCTGCTTACTGGGCTGGGCAAGCCGTGGTTGACCTCCCGCTGTTTTTCTCCATCCTTGTCCTGATGATAGGCAGCCTCTTTGCCTTCCACTACGGTGTTTATTTTTACGTGGGCAAGTTCGTTGCTGTGGTGAGTGCTGTGGGGGTGGGAGAGCATGGTTATGTTATTTTCCATCAGTGTTTGTTTTTATTAGAT